GGTAAAAGAAAATTGATTTTGATAATATTATAAAAGAATTTGCAGCAGCCAAATCCAGAAAAAAACCTATTTAATTTTTGGATAATTGAATGTTTTATTTGTTTTATTTGGTTTTTGAAATATCTGTTATTGTTTCTATACAAAATTAAAATAAAATGTCGTTTCGCAATTCGCTCAAATGTTAAACGACTACAAGTTGTTATTCTTCAAAATATTTATATAAATACTACATATATTCAAAGGGCGCCAAAATATTTCGGGCAAGTGGGCGGCGATAACCCTTGCAGGGGAACTGATACATTATATACATTTTTTTGTAGCATCTTCCAAGGGAAGTAGATTTTTTTAGTTTTCCTAATATATTCTTTAATACAACTATCCAAAACATTTTAAATTCTGAGTTATAATCGAATTTTATTAGCTTCCCTCGTAACATAAGGACGCACCTTTCTCTTATATATTCCGACAGACGTCAGTAGAAGGAGACTGAAGAAAATGAACGCCTTGATCTTCGGAACCGCTGACTGCTAACGAAAGTCTTGTCTGCTGAAGAGTGTTTCGGAAGAATTTATTGTCAAACATTGAAAGTGTTACTCAAGTCGTACATAAGTACGTAACTATTACAAAGAACACAATTTCATCATCATGAAACCTAAATAAGTTTGTTATTGTCGTTTCTGTGTGTCTTCGAGTTATTGTTTTAAAATGAAAGGGTGAGTATATCGTTTAATCGTTTAGTTCTATTTATTTATTTATTTTTTTATTACAGTATGATCCAAAATAAACAGTAAATTCTTTTATTCATTTAACAAATACATATCATGTAGAAAGTTCGAAAGATCTTTTCTAATTTATTGATATTTTGTGGTGTATTTTTGAAGAACTACTTCTTTGGTCATATATGTCTCGAAAAGTTTGAATTGATCGTTAGTACTGTTTATTTTGAGCCATACTGTATTTACAAGTTAATGAATTTATGTCACACGTAATTATGAGCATTTATTTCAAATCTATTAAGAAATATTTTATTTTTTTTGCAATTCTTAGTCACGTTTTTCAATGGTAATTTAAATAAATATACAGGGAAAACGGTATTATGTAGAGAGCGTGGTATAGATTAACGTCGAATAGAATTTTTGCGTAGAACGAAAAGCCCGAAGGGCCTTAGCGTATATCTCAGCTATCGTTGGTCCGATTTAAACGGGGAAAACAAGGTTATGTAGAGATCGTGGTATAGATTAACGTCGAAAAGAAAAATGATGCGCAGTGACAGGACAAAAGGACCTTAGCGTATATCTCAGCTATCATTGGTCCGATTCAAACGAGAAAAACGGGGGAATGTAGAGAACACCGAAAAGTTTGACGTTTGACGACTGACGTTTCACGTTTGACGTTTGACGTTTGAACTTAGAAGAGATATAATATTTTACGAAGACAAAAAGAAAGTGATAAAAGATTTGACAAATTTAAGTCTTTGGGAGCACCCTTATCCAACAACCGGTGTAAATATAGCCCACTTGAAAAATCATATTCATCCTAAAAGATCATAGACAAAATGGATATTGATTTGCAATAATATAGGACATTCTGTATCATACATTTATAAAATTTTAAACAACACATATACCGATAACAGGCCACAATTGTTGAAACTTGAAAATTGATAAGAAAATTATCAAACGCTGAAACAAAAACAAAAACATTTGGATAATTGTATTCGAATGGCTGTATCAAATTATACTGCTGTATTACCAGTTAAATAGTAAAATAAATACATATAATGATAAATTAACTGTGGATTATTTCATTTACGTTGCGTTACGTGGCTTCCGTGTGGGTAGCTCGCTGTTTATTCCAAAATTAACAAAGTAGCTCAACACATTGAGAGGTTGGCGACCACTGTCTTATGCGATAATTTTCCTTTTTCCCATTTCACAATAACAAAAATAACGCACAAATTAAATTTAAAATACAACGCTCAAATTAAAATTTTATTTGAGTTAAAAATGTTGACAAAACTGCACACACAAAAACCTCACATGTATAAAAAATCATACATTATATTATTTTTAATAAACATCTATGTATCATATCAAAATTTCATGAAATTCTAGTGCTAGTTCTAGCACAGCTTATACAATACAGCTAAAACACTCTCTTGGCGGCAACGGTTTGCGTCGATTTCGTCGCGCATCGCTTAAGCTCCGCCTTCGAAGGGAAAAGACGGTTTTGGCGTTCAGAAGCGTACTTAGGCAAGGTGTTGAGTCGTGCGTATAATTTCGTTGATTGTATAATTTCGTGGAGCCTATAATTTCGTTGATTTTGTTTGAGTTAAAGGTACTGTTATTATTTTGGTGACTCTTTAGCTGTGAGTAGAATGAGTTTGTGCAGTCAAAAGCTGTTTTAATAAGGGTTATACCTGCAAGAAAACATTCTTTAGTTTTCCCAAGGACCCAAACCGATAAGTTCTACATTATAAGAAATTTTCATTGTTAAAAATATAATTTATACAGGGTGTCTCATTAGTGCGTTATTGTTCATTATTTTGTTGTAGACACGCATGAAAGTTTTAAATAAAAGTTATATGGATTTGAAAAATACCTACATATTTTAAAAATATCTTTGGATATACAGGGTGTCACGTTTTTGCCTGGAAAATTAAAATGTATGTTTTTTAAATGGAACACCTTGTATTTTATTTTATGATGAAATTATTAACACCCTAAATTATTGTAAAGACGAATTGCTACAGAAAATTTTTATCAGGTATGTGTGTGGTTACCTTTTAATAAAAGCCTTGCGGATCCACTCCTGCGATACCTGTCTTAAATATAACAAAGATCACGTTGAATTAGACGATTTTTCTTTTTATTGCTTTTAAAAGGCATATGATAACGCCAATTCAGATACATTTGGAAATCTGCAACTGTCAAATGATGAATTTGTAGAACTAATATTCAATATTGAAAAGATATTTTAAAATAATTTTGAAGAATTGGCTACAAAAAATAACATTTGTACCACACTTTTAGAATTAATTAACCCAATACCCTTTAGTCATCCATGCTAACGTTTTCCATAAGAATAACTTATTTTATTGTATGTTTAATCTCAATAACTAAAAAATATACTGACAATTAGTTTGACAGAATTGTCATTTATTTAAAATTTTAAAAATAATAGCAGTCGGTTGATCAAAATATGAACGGTGATTGGCGAATTTATTTTTTTTTGCAGTGTTCTCACTACCTAGAATGGATATGAAATATATTCGTTCAATTGAAGGCAATAGCATACTTTTTCGTTTTGTAATCTGTGCATGGATATTAGCCAATCTACGCACATACTACAAAACGAAAAATTATGTTATTGCGTTCAACTACGAATATATTTCATATCCATTTTAGATAGTGAGAACACTTTACCAAAATTAAATCTACAAATCACAGTTCATATTTTGGTCACCCAACTCCTATTATTTAAAAATTTTTAAATAAGTGATAATTCTGTTAAACTAATTGTCAATATATATTTTAGTTATTGATATTAAATATACATTAAACTTTTTGTGTAGACTCGATAAATAATAGCATTTTTGTTTTTATTATGTCCACATTTAAAAAAAAATAAATTTTAATCAAACTACATGATACTAATTTAATTACGAGTATTAAAACTAAAGTCCTGAAAGTTTCGGTGAAGATGAGGACAGAACATCTGCCTTCCATGCGAAAAGCCCGGGATCGAATCTAGGCCGAGGACTAATTAATTTTTCATGTTTATTTTATTTTATAAATTAGTCAACTTCGTAAATTATTTTAAAATTAGTTATTTTGTCTAAATAACCTAAAATAATTTTTTAAATTTGTAGATTTTCGTTAGTGGGTCGTAGAAAAAATATACACCATATCGAGTGGATTGTTCATATCACAATCAGACTATTGAGTACTCCGCCTACGACGTCGTGCTCAAACTTCGTCTTTGTGTGATATGGCTATCATATCCACCCTTGTTGAACAAACTACAATTTATTTCTTTTCTTGGTTTAAGTTTTACATCAGAAATAAGAACTAAATTAATTTACTTTTCAAGTTTTCTTGTAAAAATCGATATTACTTTCTCCAAGTACAAATTTAGTACCTACCTAAAATAAGTACTAATTATGTAATATCGTGTAATATTGTAATTCAAATTTCACATTACTATAAAGTTTCAAAATTCCCTACTTCGGTATGGTCAGATAAAAATTGAATATATTATATTAATAAAAACTGTTAAAGTATTACTTCTACAAATCTGTATTTCAATTAATAAGAATACATCTAAATATAACCAATATTGTTAAAATAAAAGCACAAATTCTTTATAATTCCAAAATACCATAGAGTTCCCAGACCTCAGTCGAAGCATTCGTTTATCTAGGTATAAACCATTTGCGCGAAGAGTAACACTTGCCAGAGACACGGGGTACCACTTGATTTGCATCCACGAGCGTGACACATTTCTTTAACAATTGAAGCCCTTGGTGTAAAAAGGATCCAAGTCACAATTTGTCGTGAAGTGACTGTTTTAGCTCAAAACATTTGTTAACGAGGATTTTACTAGCCACATACAAATTATTTTACCTCTAATCCGAAAGATGTGCTATTTTTCGTAATATTTATATTTAAATAATTTTTTTAATTATATTTGACAGATTTAAAACAAATTAAAAATTTAATTTCCCAAAACTTACTTAACATGGCATGTAACCAACCTTATTACGTCAAGGTTTTCAATTTTTTCAATAATAAAAAAATTGCTTAATCCGGGCCCGACTTTTCCCTTTAATCTAACAGAGATAGCACCATTCCGTCTTGCTTGGTTCTCGACCGCCAGATCAAAGACGCCGACACGGAGTTGTGGAGCTGTATTTTATAAGCTGTGGATCTAGTCAGTAATAATTCAGCTTAAATGTAATTTTATTTTTATTTATATAATTATCAATTTTTTTGTTTCAGGTTACCTTTAGATCTTTTACATAACCTCAGTATTTTACGAAAAAAAGAAGAAGATAAAAATGATAACTCATCTTCAGAGAAATTCTTCTTAACACCTTTCCTCAAACAGGTACGTAATTTGTAATCTGTAACATGTAGAGGGTGGGTTACTTCCCTCCTAAGAAGATGCATACATATTTAGACGTATTTTCACAAAAAATGTTTCTAAAGTGACCCACTTTAGATCACCCTTGTTTAAGTTATAGGTTGTTGGAGATAAAAAATAGTTTGAAATTAATTTATGTAATTTATTATTATTTTAAATTTTTTGTTTTAGACTCTAGTGGCGCTAAGTCCTCTTTTACTGACGATATGTTCTGGAATGACAGTCGGATACTCAGCTATTTTACTCCCTCAACTGCAGTCTTTAGAAAACAGCACTCTTATTACTGATAAAGAAGAAGCATCATGGATAGGTAATGTATTTACTTATATAAAGAAATCTATAACTAGCAATTATTAATGAAAATATTCTATTTTATCAAAAATAAACGTGCTTTACTTTTGACAAACCTCGTATACGGCTTGAAAAATTTGATATCTACTGACTGTATTTTAAATTTTGGGTCATGCAGGATTTTTTATCTGAAAAAACTATTTTTCCTAAAATTAATGATAAAAAAGTTTTCCATATGATTCCAACTTAGGGGGACATACTGTAGATTGCCATAGAAAAACCTATTTGCAAAACATGTAATACCAAATTCACAGTAACACTTATAAGAGTGGTCTTCCTACAAAACAACCATAAAGTACATCAGCTATATTATTTAATCCAACTGAAGATTTTAATCATATACTTTCACTCACAAACAAAGGTATAATCATTAAGAAAATCGTATAATCCTAAATATGAAATCATTAATGGAGGTACAGTAAAGCATAGTCGATGCATTTTCCTAAAAGAAACATTAATAATGATAATAATGATTTTAATAATAATAAATCAACTTTGTAGATGTTACGACAGCTGTGAGCTTGCATAAGCCATGAACAATTTGAATTTCCTACAATTTATATTATAACATTATATTTAGTAAGTCAAATATGAATGAAAGAATATAATTTAAGAAAAATAATACATATAGAAGAATAATAAGAAAAATCAGCAGGATATTGAGAAAATTTAAGTATGAATACAAAATGTGTAAAATAAATGATTGAGTAATGATGTTATTATTTAGAACAATTCACTTCAGATAATTCAGTTTGTGTAAGAAGTTGCAAGTGACACTTTCGATGAAGGCTTTAATGAAATTTATCATTTTTACTTTCCTATCTGTATACAGATATAAGGAAAGTATAGGAATCATGACTTTTTTCGACCTCGAGTTTTCGACGTTTTGAGGTCCCCTGAATCCGTTTTGACTATTTTCGCGATGATGTGTGTGTGTCTGTGTGTGTGTGTGTGTCCAATGTGCTGAATAGATTTTGGGTAGTGTCGGAACATCTGGGGGGGTACTTTATAGGTGGTCATTTTTATATTTTATGGAATATATCTGTTATTTACGTTTGGAGAAGAAAATTCTTCAAATAAAAGTTACTTCTAATATAATTACCTATAATTTTTGTTTCATGCAAAATTTTCCTAAAATGGTCCGTATTCGAGAAATTTGACAAAATGTAAAAAACGATTTATTTATAAAAATTGTTCAAACAAAAGTTGTTTGTAATATAATTCTCTATAATTTTTATTCCATACATAATTTCTCTAAAATGGACCGTATTCGAGATATTTGAGAAAATGTGTAAATTTTGAAATTTAAAGAAAACTCAAAAACGGATAAAGAAAAAAACATTAAATTTTAAACTTAAGTTTTATTTTGGCCTGACGTGAAATGATTAGATTTTGGACAAAGTCGGAACATCTGGGGGGGTACTTTATAGAAGGCCTTTTTTATATTTTATGGAATATATCTGTTATTTATGTTTGGAGAAAAAAATTGTTTAAATAAAAGTTATTTCTAATATAATTATCTATAATTTTTGTTCTATACAAAATTTTCCTAAAATGGTCCGTATTCGAGAAATTTGACAAAATGTAAAAAAAATAATTTTTTATAAAAATTGTTCAAATAAAAGTTGTTTGTAATATATTTCTCTATAATTTTTATTCTATACATAATTTTTTTAAAATGGACCGTATTCGAGATATTTGAGAAAATGTGTAAATTTCGAATTTTGAAGAAAACTCAAAAACGGATAAAAAAAAACATTAAATTTAAAACATAAGTTTTATTTTGGCCTGACGTGAAAAGATTAGATTTTGGACAAAGTCGGAACATCTGGGGGGGTACTTTATAGGGGGCCGTTTTTATATTTTATGGAATATATCTGTTATTTATGTTTGGAGAAAAAAATTGTTCAAATAAAAGTTATTTCTAATATAATTATCTATAATTTTTGTCCTATACAAAATTTTCCTAAAATGGTCCGTATTCGAGAAATTTGACAAAATGTAAAAAAAATAATTTTTTATAAAAATTGTTCAAATAAAAGTTGTTTATAATATAATTCTCTATAATTTTTATTCTATACATAATTTCTCTAAAATGGACCGTATTCGAGATATTTGAGAAAATGTGTAAATTTCGAATTTTGAAGAAAACTCAAAAACGGATAAAAAAAAAACATTAAATTTTAAACTTAAGTTTTATTTTGGCCTGACGTGAAATGATTAGATTTTGGACAAAGTCGGAACATCTGGGGGGTACTTTAAGGGAGGCCGTTTTTATATTTTATGATATATCTATTATTTATGTTTGGAGAAGAAAATTGTTCAAATAAAAGTTACTTCTAATATTATTATCTATAATTTTTGTTTTATGTCAAAATTTCCTGAAATGGTCCGTATTCGAGAAATTTGACAAAATGTGCAAAATTCTGATTTTTATGAAAATTGTTGAACTAATATAATTTTTGTTTATACATGATTTTTCTAAAATGGACCGTAATGGAAAAGTGCTAAAGGACCCCGCACTTTCAATGGAAATTGGGTTTCATCGAAATTGTCCCATTTTTTGCAGGAAGCGAGCTTTTGACATCCTGACCAAAAGTCCTTTTGGGTGGAACAAAATCCTATGTAAGGATTTTGATTTATTTTCAAAAGAAGGCCTCGATTTTGACGAACCTCAAAAATCGTAAACACCGGGAAACAACACATACAAAGAGGTTAGAGTCTTTATTTTTTCAAAGTCTTGGACCCAGAAGTTATTCCAGAATGATTAGCAGTCATTGATGGAGACGCTGTGTATGAGTGCCCATCATTAGGCAACTCACAGGATGGTTCTAAACACTTTCGGAAAAAAATTGACCTTTTAACCAAACATTTCTAAGTGTGATTTCCTGGATGAGTCAGCTCCGGAAAAGTTGGACTCACTCATGCCCATCAATGGTACGAACCCATGAGTTATTCGCCAAAAATGGTCTCATTTGGCCGATCCTCGAAAATTGGAAAAATAGGGTGAAGAAGGCCTACAACGTTGGTAATATGATCATGTTTAGACGGCTTTGGGCCAAAAACTCATTTCACAATGCCCAGCAGTCATTGGTGTGGCTGTTGAGCAAGTATGGCCATCATTGGGCAACTCGTAGAGCGGCCATGAACATTTATAGGGAAAACAAGTAACCTTCAATTGAAATTCATTATTTGTGAGGAATGATGTTAACGATATCACTTGTTAATTTTTTCACAATTTCTCAATTGTGTGAACAATATCAACTCCCATTCTGGATCAGAAGATTGCTTGTTCTCGTGGATATAGAATGCGGGAAGGTTGGACTCACCCCGGCCTATAAATGATAAGGCCCCATACCCACCAATGGCCCCTTCAAAAGTCCCAGACTCCAGTTGGACCTTGTTTTCGCGCAGATATATGCTTCGCTGGATGGGTGCACCTAGGATCTCCTTAATATTAGACATGGACATTTTTCAGGAAAAAAACTAACCTTAAATTGAAATTCATTGTTTGTGAAGAATGATATTGTTAAATAAGATACTGCAAAATACGAAAACTTCAATTGAAACACGTATCTCAGACCGGAAGATCGATTTCACCAGCGCTGAAAAGGTCTGACCATCGATGGGCCATTTGTCAATGGCTCAAGGGCATTTTCAAAAAAGATACAAAACTCAACAATTTGTTTTCTAAATAAATTAATTCTAATAAATCTCTTTTTGTTTATTAATTGACAATATTACAGGAATATTATTCAGGCTAATCAGCCTCGATTTCCTGCACATTCCGCACATCCAAAACTCTATCTAGTAGCATCGTTGAAGGATATTTCACTTGGAGTGCGTTTAGAAACATCGTACGGCGCGTCTGACCACATACATTAGAATAGGGTCCAGACGCGCCGTGCGTGGTTTCTAAACGCACTCCAGCGCTTGATTTCGCGCATGGCCTAGATACCAAACGACCGCTGCTACATGTGCACACGTTCCCACGGTTCTGGCACCCGTTTGACAGGTACAATACGTGCCTAGTATGGGATTAACCTCTTCTTCTAATGGTTCTTCGTTAAATGATATCCACAATTGAAGTCTCGTTCCACCTCTGTATCGAGAGAACAGTCTGACTCGAATAAATCCTGCTTCGCTATCCTGATCGTATTGGAATTCTGCTTGCCTTTCATCAAGCATGTTATCCTGAATATACCCTGGCGCGGGGTTAATTTGGAACACACCCAGAGTCAAATCCCGCAATGCCTCGTTGTTTAGTTCAGGAAATCGGAGTTGTTGAGCCTGAATCAAAGGTTGCCATCGACCTCTTCTATGTCGCAGATGCTCAAAATCCACCCTAGCCTGCACCACATTATTTTTGTTACAAGACGCGTGGAATTAGCAGCTTCAGTACTTAATTGCCGTTCTCCAGCTTTAATCAGTGCTGGCATTCTGACATCCATTCCAAGTCTCTGTAAAGCAGGGATCGCATCTCGATATCCACGGTCAACAACAAATAAATCACCACCCCGGAACCATTGCCTCATTTCTTCACCATCTCTATTAAACTCGTTAACAAGGATATTGGCATCATTATTCGCGGCATTCGAAAAGTACGGCCCTTGAATATCCAGGATGTGAAAAAATAAAGACTCTAACCTCTTTGTATGTGTTGTTTCCGTGTTTATGATTTTTGAGGTTCGTCAAAATCGAGGCATTCTTTCGCAAATAACTCAAAATCCTTACATAGGATTTTGTTCCACCCATAAGGACTTTTGTTCAGGATGTCAAAAGCTAGCTCCCTGCAAAAAATGGGACAATTTCGATGAAACCCAATTTCCATTGAAAGTCAGCGGGGTCCTTTAAATTTTTCAGTATTTTCGTTTTCAATGAATATCTGTAGAAAAATGTTTCGAGGTAGATGTATGTGGACAATGTATATATTTAGTTTACCCTCTAAACATTTATAGAGATGCTGCAATAGGTTGTACAAAATAACCGGAAAAAGCCTATAATAACTAGATAGGAAAGTCATGTGTTGGACACATCAGATTTTTTTTATAAAAGGCGGTATTTAACTGTAACACTTTAATTTGAACACCCGGTATATTTATTGCAAAATTTTCTAGATATTTATCTAAAATATTTAAAATTTATCAAGAAATATGTCAATTTTGTGTACTGATCGTAAAAAAAATATATTATCTAATACTTATTATTTTTTAGCTTCAATGGCCGCCCTACCAATGGCCGTAGGTTCAGCCTTCGGTGGAATTTTCATAGAAAAAATGGGCAGAAAAACTGCTCACTCCATTTCATGTATACCAACATTTATTGGGTGGCTCCTCATTTGCTTGGCTACTGGAACAAGAATGATTCTTATCGGTAGATTCATATCAGGATTTTTCACTGGTTTTCTAGCAACTGCTACAGGTGTTTACATTGGTGAAATATCCGATCCACTATACAGGGGATTCTTTTTAGCTGGGATTTCCACATCAATTTCATTAGGTTAGTATTGGTCAGATTTGATTATTATTCATTTAAATATTAACAGCTTTGTAGTGACGAAAGAAAGTGGTTGCAATTTCAGATATTATAAAATTATTGTTACAGTCTTAGAATTCATTTTCAGGATTTTATAAAGGAAAAGTTCATTCAAACTTCTCGTTTTTATAGAAAATTTTTTGAAAACTACCTACACGAGAGAACACAGATAGTTAAAATTAGAAATGAATTTAGTAATCCTGTTAAAATTCAAACAGGTGTTGTATTGGAGAGGGTGGAAAGCAAGTGGACTGTATATTTAATGTTGATGGACGTTAATTCTTCGAAAAGTTTCCGCCCTAACCAATACAAGAGAGTAAAATTGTTTGTGTAGAACTCACCACTTTCACACGAATAAAAGTCATACACAAACTAAATGGTTTATTTAAAGAAACAGAGAACTTCTCACAATATAACTATAAAAAAAATGTATTGCCTTAGACGTGGCAACATTGCACGTTTACTCGAATTGTCCTTAAAATTAAATACACGAAAAAATAGTCAAAAAAAAACTTACATTTTTCACTTCCAGCACTGACTTTATTAGCATTAGTTAAAAAGAGAGAATCAAAATACATAGGGGTTGGTAAAATAGACATTTTCGTCGTTTTCACCGCTAGCGCACAAAACAACACCAATCATCATTGAGTAGTGGGGTACTACTGCCGCGAGTACTGGGTTCGAGAGAAACTGATCGGGAATCGGGAACCGCGCCGTGGTGTCGCGGGGAAATACGTGGTATTCTGAAACCCGATCAGAGAGCTAGGGATTTTATAATTGTACAGGGTAGAGTTATAATTATGTCGAGCAGGTGGATTTTAATTTTCAAAATCCAACAGGTGTGTCACAAGGAACTGTCCTTGGTCCAATTCTTTTTATCATCTATATCAACTCTCTTTTAAGCTTAGATATAAATTGTATAGCAATATCCTATGCAGATGACACCGTGTTAATGTTTGAAGGTAAAACTTGGGAAGCTGTAAAATCAAAAGTGATCAAAGGGGTAAGAATTATAAAAGACTGGTTGTATTATAATAAACTATCTTTAAATATATCGAAAACAGTATATATGGCATTCTCACTCACAGATGCTAACAGATTTGTATTGAAGAATCCAAATTCATCATCAAAGAAGTGGAAAATGCCAAATATTTGAGAATAGTTGATAAAAATCTTAAATGGACTGATCATGTTCAGTACTTAACAAACAAAATAAGAAAACTTCTGTCTATACTCAAACAAATAATGATAGAGAGTGAACTAGTTTTTAGCAGAATCAAAATAGAGTAAGTAGTAGAGTTGTAAGTTGTGGCAAATTATAGATAATATACAATCATAGTACTAATAAAAGATATTAATTATAACAAAAATCAGTAATGAGTAATACTTATACATTTCTTGATCATTTAAAATTAATTATTTTATGGATTGTTCAGTATTTGTTACAACTAATGGCATCGGTGTACGGAGCGATATTTGTGTCTTTGTCTGTTACGCGTAAAATCCATCTCGTCGATGACGTTCTCAGTAGTGTATTTCTAACCACGAGCGTAACATCGGGTTTTGAATTATACGGTGTGAATTGTAAGTTTTACAGTTAAGTTAGTAAGTAATCGACGTGTTGTAAGAACAATTGGTGAAAATATTAGTGCTAATAAGTGTTTAAACATTAAATAATAATATTTCTACACCGTTCTAAAACTATACAAAAAATGGAAGACATTGAAGGGTCTTCAACGTCGAAAAAGGTAAAACGGTCGAAGTCTCGGTCGCTAAGTGAAAAACAAATTGTACTTCGAGTATTTCACTGTCTTGAAAGAGATCATCAGCGACCAAAAGATAACTTAGTGCATATGTGCTGTAATTCTACGGATGTACCTCCGAATAACCAACCGGGCGTTCCAACATCATTAACTTCCACAATTACAAAAGATAAATTAGTTGATATGTGCTCTGATTATACAGGTGTACCAAAATCATCAGTTTACAAAATACTAAGAGAAAACAAAATTCATGGGGAAGTACAAACGCCAAAAACACAGTTGATGAAGAAGCCAAAAACAGTATACGCACAACTATTCACAGTTTCTTTTTCAGAAATGAGCTGCCCACTTTGCAAAAAGTTCTGGAGGCAGTTAGCGATCATGAATTGGTCCCACAAATGAGTAAAGAAACTTTGAGGAAAATTTTACACGAAATGAAATTTACGTACGGAAAAGTCGACAGGAAAAGCATTCTCATTGAACGTCAGGAAATAATAGTATGGAAAAGAAATTATCTCCGAAAAATTGAGGAATTTCGGAATATCAAAAAAAAAATTTACTACATGGATGAGACGTGGGTTAACCAAGGACATACGGTCAAAAAAGTATGGCAGGATGGTCATATAACAAGTACACGACAAGCCTTTATTGAAGGCTTGTCAACTGGGTTAAAACAGCCGTCTGGAAAAGGTAGTCGTCTGATAGTTACGCATATAGGAAGCGACAGTAGATTTTTACCAAATGGTGAATTAATATTTAAATCCAAGAAAACAGGCGACTATCATGAAGAGATGAATGCGGAGGTGTTTGAAAAATGGTTTGAAGGCATCATTCAACTTGTGGAACCTGGGTCTCTCGTCGTCATGGACAATGCCCCATATCATAGTCGGTATTTAGAATCATTACCGAAACAATCATGGAAAAAACGAGCAATTCAAGAATGGTCAATTAATAAAAACATCCAATATAAAAAAGATAGTTTAAAGGCAGAACTATTTCAGTTAACAAAATTACACAGAGACAAATATAAAAAATTCGTAGTGGATGAAATGGCGTTAAGTCGTGGAATTACAGTATTAAGGTTACCACCGTACCACTGCGAATTAAACCCAATAGAATTAATCTGGGCGCAAGTAAAAGGATATGTGGCACGAGAAAACAGAACATTTAAATTAGTGGACGTGCAACGTTACCTACAAGAAGCCATTCAAAATGTTTCTGCAGAAGACTGGAAGAAATGCATTCAGCATGTTTTAAAAGAAGAGCAAAAAATGTGGGACGTAGACAACCGTATTGAACACAATATTGAACCAATCATAATTAACTTTGATGATAGCGGTAGCAGCAGTGACGAATCTGAGGTTGAAGATTAGAAGAAAATTTGTACACAAAAAGAAGTCTATATATTTAGGTATAATTTTTATTTTTACCATTCACTATTACCATTTAGAAATTATTATATAAATTTGTATTTTTAATTCCTGTACACAAACATGAACAATGTCTCAGCAGGATACAAATGTTTATTTATTTAATTATTATTATTATTGTATCAATTTGTACATTGTTACATAAATTTGAAATAAACATTATTATTATTATGTTTGGCGGTCAAGAAAACATAATCCTGTAGGTTATATCTAAACTAATTATCTTACTTAGGGATTTCCGAAATGATAGGTGCGTGTAAACTTTTATGATTTAAGCACCAATCAAATAGTAATTTAAGCTTTATAATGTCTTTTAATGTTGGCCGAACCCAATTAGGGTTTCTTGGGTAAGGCTGGCTAGTTTCGAGGAACTGCAGGTAAACCGGGAGATATATATATATATATATATATATATATATATATATATATATATATATATATATATATATATATATATATATATATATATATAGAGAGAGAGAGAGAGAGAGGTATGCTTTATTGTCATTGAAAAATTACAAAAATTTTATAGACAAAGCGAAGTAAATTAAAAACTAAATATAATATAAAAAGATTAAAAAATATAAAAATTTAAAAATAACTAAACAAAACAAAATAAAAATATCATTTGCATTGGATATGCAATATCCGTCATTATGATTTTAATTTAAAATTTAAGTAATACTTCTGTATGTGTAACCCAAGAAGAAACTTAAGAGACAGTTCCTTACTGACTTCGGCCGCGACATATTATATAAATATACGTTAATTTGTGAAATAAAGTTAAATTCATTATTAAAATAGTAAAATTGATAATATTGTTTCTGTCACCAAACCAACCCCTGATTAGGTATCTTTCTTATTTTTAATTTGAAATATATATTGTGATTTTTATTAATATTCTTAATTTATTTGGTTCCTACTATAATTACCACAACTATTACTCCGTTTTCATAAAGCCCCACTAATGACTACAACGATTAGGTAAATTACGATATTGCAAAGTTTTCATGAAATAAATAAAAGAAATTGTATGAATATTTTAAATAATTGTACCCTCTCAAAAATAATAAGCACGCCTCCGATTTGGTCGTATTTCTACCTGCTTTCACTCTCAATCATTATTTGTTTGAGTTTAGAAGATCAAGACATTTGATTTCTCGCATGTCCTTCTGCTTAACTGAGAGGTATTTCGAAACCATTTTGGCATAGACTTTTCGCTCCAAATTCCGATGTTGCGTGTGGCACAACAAAAACATAACCTCATTAATCACAGTCTAGAAAATCACGTAATTACCGGATGGAGTAGAAACTCGAACAAAGCTATGAGAGGGTTCTGATGTGCTCTCTCAAGGTCAACAGCGCAGGGTTGCCAGATTGCTTGCAATATGGCCAGTCTCATTAACTTTCACATAGTACTATTCTTAACACACTCATGCACATTTTACAAACATTTCTAGTTTTTTTTTTGTTCCAACTTTCTACAAAAGCACTAACTTTTTTCTCCTTATGCAGGAAAACTAATTTAAATCAAAAACAACTACTACATGAAATATTTCAATTATTTTCTTTTATTTTCCAGGTCTATTCCTATCCCATCTACTAGGAACATTCCTATCTTGGCAAACAACAGCTCTAATATGCTCAATACTACCTCTATTCAGTCAAATAATCATTTTCTTCGTACCAGAATCACCATCTTGGCTAGCAGGACGAGGCAAAACTGAAGAAGCAGAAAAATCGTTCTATTGGTGCCGGGGAATCACAGAAGACTCCAAAAAAGAATTTTCGATAATGTTAGAAAGACAGAATCAAAATCAACATTCCAAAATGGATAAAAATAGTTTAAAAGAACGATTACAGGAGTTGATGGTTCCGGAATTTCTAAAACCGTTAGGGATAATAACGTTCTATATTGTAGCTAATCAGTGGGCAGGAATAAATGCTATAACGTTCTATTCCGTTAGTGTAATGAAAGAAACCATTGGAAGTGGATTGAATGAATATGTAGCTATGTTAATAATAGATTCTTTAAGACTCTTCATGTCTATAATAGCTTGTATTATGTTAAGAAGGTTCGGTAGAAGACCTCTAGCTTTAATAAGCGGTATTGGCACATTTATATCATTATTTTCTCTAACTTTATATACATTTCTTATCAAATTATACCCTCAAGGTACTTCTGTATACATACCAATGACTTGTCTGGTATTTTATATACTATTTGTAACCAGTGGGTTTGTTCCCCTACCCTGGGCAATGATGGGAGAAATTTTCCCGTTAAAACATAGAAGTTTAGGTAGTGGGATTTCATCGTTTGCAGCATTTGTTGCTTTTTTTTCTGTAGTTAAAACTACGCCGGCGATGTTTGAAAATTTCGGACCAGGTGGGTCGTTTTTTACTTTTGGGGTTGTAGCTCTAGTGGGAACGGTGTTTGTTTATTTATTTTTACCCGAAACTAAAGGGAGACCGTTGCATGAAATAGAAGATGGTTTTAAGAATAAATTAACAAGTAGAATGTGATAAATTTATATATTTTTTTATTAAAAAATTTAAAAAGTATTATTTTCTTGTTTGATCCACTCCTGCGATACCTGTCTTAAATATAACAAAGATCACGTTGAATTAGACGATTTTTCTTTTTATTGCTTTTAAAAGGCATATGATAACGCCAATTCAGATACATTTGGAAATCTGCAACTGTCAAATGATGAATTTGTAGAACTAATATTCAATATTGAAAAGGTATTTTAAAATAATTTTGAAGAATTGGCTACAAAAAATAACATTTGTACCACACTTTTAGAATTAATTAACCCAATACCCTTTAGTCATCCATGCTAACGTTTTCCAAAAGAATAACTTATTTTATTGTATGTTTAATCTCAATAACTAAAAAATATACTGACAATTAGTTTGACATAATTGTCATTTATTTAAAATTTTAAAAATAATAGCAGTAGGTTGATCAAAATATGAACGGTGATTGGCGAATTTATTTTTTTTTGCAGTGTTCTCACTACCTAGAATGGATATGAAATATATTCGTTCAATTGAAGGCAATAGCATACTTTTTCGTTTTGTAATCTGTGCATGGATATTAGCCAATCTACGCACAAACTACAAAACGAAAAATTATGTTATTGCATTCAACTACGAATATATTTCATATCCATTTTAGGTAGTGAGAACACTTTAACAAAATTAAATCTACAAATCACAGTTCATATTTTGGTCACCCAACTCCTATTGTTTAAAAATTTTTAAATAAGTGATAATTCTGTTAAACTAATTGTCAATATATATTTTAGTTATTGATATTAAATATACATTAAAATTTTTGTGTAGACTCGATAAATAATAGCATTTTTGTTTTTATTATGTCCACATTTAAAAAAAAATAAATTTTAATCAAACTACATGATACTAATTTAATTACGAGTATTAAAACTAAAGTCCTGAAAGTTTCGGTGAAGATGAGGACAGAACATCTGCCTTCCATGCGAAAAGCCCGGGATCGAATCTAGGCCGAGGACTAATTAATTTTTCATGTTTATTCTATTTTATAAATTAGTCAACTTCGTAAATTATTTTAAAATTAGTTATTTTGTCTAAATAACCTAAAATAATTTTTTAAATTTGTAGATTTTCGTTAGTGGGTCGTAGAAAAAATATACTGACCATATCGAGTGGATTGTTCATATCACAATCAGACGATTGAGTACTCCGCCTACGACGTCGTGCTCAAACTTCGTCTTTGTGTGATATGGCTATCATATCCACCCTTGTTGAACAAACTACAATTTATTTGTTTTCTTGGTTTAAGTTTTACATCAGAAATAAGAACTAAATTAATTTACTTTTCAAGTTTTCTTGTAAAAACCGATATTACTTTCTCCAAGTACAAATTTAGTACCTACCTAAAATAAGTACTAATTATGTAATATCGTGTAATATTGTAATTCAAATTTCACATTACTATAAAGTTTCAAAATTCCCTACTTCGGTATGGTCAGATAAAAATTGAATATATTATATTAATAAAAACTGTTAAAGTATTACTTCTACAAATCTGTATTTCAATTAATAAGAATACATCTAAATATAACCAATATTGTTAAAATAAAAGCACAAATTCTTTATAATTCCAAAATACCATAGAGTTCCCAGACCTCAGTCGAAGCATTCGTTTATCTAGGTATAAACCCTTTGCGCGAAGAGTAACACTTGCCAGAGACACGGGGTACCACTTGATTTGCATCCACGAGCGTGACACATTTCTTTAACAATTGAAGCCCTTGGTGTAAAAAGGATCCAAGTCACCATTTGTCGTGAAGTGACTGTTTTAGCTCAAAACATTTGTTAACGAGGATTTTACTAGCCACATACAAATTATTTTACCTCTAATCCGAAAGATGTGCTATTTTTCGTAATATTTATATTTAAATAATTTTTTTAATTATATTTGACAGATTTAAAACAAATTAAAAATTTAATTTCCCAAAACTTACTTAACATGGCATGTAACCAACCTTATTACGTCAAGGTTTTCAATTTTTTCAATAATAAAAAAATTGCTTAATCCGGGCCCGACTTTTCCCTTTAATCTAACAGAGATAGCACCATTCCGTCTTGCTTGGTTCTCGACCGCCAGATCAAAGACGCCGACACGGAGTTGTGGAGCTGTATTGTATAAGCTGTGATAATAGTACACATCGGTAGTTCAAACGGTTTTGTTAAAGGTGGTTTATTGAGTTTTTAATCTACTCGTACTGGTGACTACCATGAGGACATGAATGCTGATGTCTTTAAAGAGTGGTTTGAACAAATTATAGACCTTCTTCCTCAGAACTGTATAATAGTAATGGATAATGCAAGTTATCACTCGAGACTTATAGAAAAAATGCCCACAACCAAGTGGTTAAAAAAAGATTTACAGAATTGGCTAAATTCAAAGAATATTATCATTTGTTTTCCCTTCATAAAGAGAAATTAAAAAAATATGAAATTGATGAAATTGCAAAAAATCGTGAGATGACGGTGGTTAAATCACCACCATATCATTGCGAAGTAAAACCCGATTGAACTGATATGGGCACAGATAAAGGGAGAAGTTTCAAGAAAAAATAATTCTTTTAAGATGAGTGATGTTAAACAGTTGTTTTTGGAGGCTGTAAATAATGTGAAGCCTGAAAACTGGGAAAAGGCAGTAAATCATACGATTAAAGAAGAAGAGAAAATGTGGAAGTTGGACAATATTACTGATGAAATGATCGAGCCACTCATTGTAAATATTGGTTGCGACAGTTCATCTTCTGATTTCGATTCTGATTTGGATTTGTAGGTAAGAAGTAGTTTTTATATTAAAATTATTATTTATGAATGTAACGTTGTTTAAAAGTCAAAGTTTAAACCCTTATACCTACATAACCCGTTTGACACAATGTTCTTAACATAAAATAAAATAATTTTAGAAAAAATTGCACTTTTTTACCTTCAGCTGTTTAGAAGTTATAAGCAGGTTAATTAGGTGAAAATATAGGTGTATACTAGAGGAATAACTTCAAAAAATATTTTAACTGTCTACTAAAAGAAGTCGTACGCCTATGGATTACGAACGCTTTATTATTTTAATACTCTCTCATACATAAAAATAGACTAGAGTTGTGGACCATGTTCAGTAACAATTAATATATGAATAAATGTTATATAAAATTATTTTTTTCTAAAATACTTCGGAATTCATCTCTTCATGGTAATCTCCCATCTTTTTACCTTCAAAAACCAATAATGCATTTTCTACAAAACCTTCAGAATCAGCATGTAAAATAATAAGGTGTCTTCCTTTTCTTGTAAGGCTTTTCAGGAATTGCTACCTTTAATAGTACTCAGTGTAGAAGGATCCATAATTGTAGATTTTCAATACAATTGCTTACTGAAGAACTATTATTTACGAAATAAAGTAAAAACTAAGTAATGGATGAGATATCAAATTATAAAATGTCAGAACTGTCAACAATATCAATTATTAGCTGATGTTCATGCTAAAAAGTAATGTGTGAAACTGACTGTAATCTGACCAATTAGAAGGCTACAGAATTGCCAACTTAAATTCAAATCGCTCCTCTTAGTTTAAAAACAGAGTATAATAGTTCATTAACGGACGAACTAGGATGTACTCCTCTAGTTTCACTTTTTTGCACTAGTTGCATAAATAACTATTATTTTAATTGTAATAAAAATCTTAAATTACAAAATCGTGTTGCTATTTTTATTTACTTCCCACTGAATGTTTTGCAAGTCTAAAGTCGAAAAATATATGTAATGTTATTTTAGTTTGATTATTTAGGTAATATACAAATGTTTAAATCACTAACATTTAATTTTTTAATCCAATAAATGTTTTTTGTTGGGAAACTGCTTTAATTCTTATTTAAATAAGAGCCTACGCCACTGGTATATCGATCTGGAGCAACGGAGAAGGAATATTTTAAAGTGAGGCAGACGATGACTAGTTGATGACGTCCGTGGCTTTTTCTAAGTTGAATCTTACTCTACTTTATTTTAAATAGTAGGCTATGATGCCACACTTTTTCGAAGGCTCTGTAGAATAATTTTTTTTCTTTCATAGAATTGTTAATTTTATTTATTATGCGATGGATCTGATCAATCGAAGAATGTTTATCTCGAAACCCGAATTTATGGGACGATATTAATTGTTTTTTGTCGATTATCTAATTCAGTCTTTTTAAGAGCAATTGCTCTAATAGTTTTAATATTACAGATAGAAGCGAGATTGGTTTATATAAAATTATTTTATTATTGGGTTTTCCCGGTTTGCGTATCATTATTGCCTCAGCAGTTTTCCATAGTAGTGGAAGTGTGGTGAATTATAAATGTTGCATATATTATATTGGTGAATTTGCACAATGGGCCTAATGAGGCCTAGGTGCCGTGGGGATAACCCACCTTCCACACGTTACAGATACAGATTATATTGGTCAGTTTTACTAAATCATATCGTGGTAATTTCTTTAGTATCTCTCCTGTGATCAGATCGAACCCGGGAGTTTTTTTATATTAAAACTATTTTTTATTTCTCTTTGTACTTCTTTCCGACTAGTTAATGTGTATAAAATGAATACATAAAATAAATTTAAAATTTTGCAGATGTGGGGAAATACTCTCTGGGCTAATCTCAACCCTAATGCTCTCGTTGAGGGTATAGACAACTTCGTCAAAAATTTCAGAAAACTCCCAAAAGAAATTAAAGCTCTGAGTGTTGGCGTGACTCTGGAGAACACGCTCAAGCAGTTTCGAAACGCCGTTCCTCTTATGGTGGCCCTGAAAAACGAGGCGCTAAGAGAGAGACATTGGAAAATTCTTATGGACAAAACCGGAATCAAATTTAACATGTCCCCGGACAAGTTAGTATAGATATGTATTATTTTTTCTTAGTAGAACAAATTTGAGCCAGGAACACTAAAATTGTATTGATACATTTTAAATACGAGTAGCATTTGAAACAATTCTTCCACTCATATAAAAAAAAACCACTAAAATAGTAGTAATAGGAAGGAACAAAAATGCAAGTGGATAAAGAAAGTGAATGAATAAATTATGGTACCATAGTAATTATTTGCATTTGTAATTTTGTTATATGGTTTATGTACAAGTATTACAAATTAAAAATTAAAAAAAACCGAAGGTGGTAAAGCATTATCGCTAAACATACATAAAAAATTAAGAGTTTGAGGATTTTCTCATGGATCCAATTATTAGGTTTTGACAAAATTTATATGGGACCACCCCTACAGTAGCCCCTTTCTAACAAAAAAAAAAGAATTATTGAAATCGGACATCGTGTTAAAAAATTATCGCTGAACATACATAAAAAATGAAGAGTTTGAGGATTTTCTCATGGACCCAATTATTAGATTTTGACTAAATTTATATGTGACTACCCGTGAAATACCCCCTTTCTAACAAAAAAAGAATCATTGAAATCGGACACCGTGTTAAAGAATAATCGCTGAACATACATAAAAAAAAAAAATATCGCGACGAATTGATAACCTCCTCCTTTTTTGAAGTCGGTTAAAAAATATGTTTCCATCTTTGTAATTTGATATTAATGAAACCGTTGTTTGATACTTTTCAATTGCAAATAGAAAAGGATTTTTATTTGAAAGAATATTTATTAATGCTTCTATGATACACTGCTCAACTCAACAGTTTTCCATCTTTCTCTAGTAGTATCTATTGCGACTCAATTGGTCTCCAATAGATTGACAGTACTAATCATTAAAGTAACGTAAACAAAGCTATTGGAGGGAGAATATGTTGCTGGCAAACAAATTGTGACAGTTATTTACTTAGGTTACTTATTTATCTATTCAAAAATGGTATCGAAAGTATAAATAAGAAATTAATAAACACTCACCCTTCAATTGAAGTCAGCGAAGCCCCATGTCCCATTCGTTGTCTCGTCTTTCCCATCGTAGATCCAGAAACTACTTATTTCGCGTCACCCGGTATATTTATTTCCGGATATCTTCTGATCCCGGCGTACGATCTTTCATTCTGACCTCAATACTCAATGTCTCATTCCGTTTCTATAGTAAGCCTTCAATGCCTCCAGGTTGTTATTAAACTCAATTTTTTTTACTTGGTAACAAAAAAATCACAACATATAAATTTTAAAAGTTGAACTAAAGAGTAATAATATTGTGATATATATACAAAGGGAAAAAATAGATAGAACTCTGAAAATTATGAAGGGTTTGCTTAATAAAAAATAGTGCAAACCCCTATATTTCTATGTTACAGGATGTTATAGGTAGAAACTAAAAAAGAATATTTGCTATTGCTTAAATTAGTAAATGTTTTTTATAGTACCAAATGCTTTCGATAAATAAATAAAATAAATCTTGGAGAAAGATTTTAAAGAACTATACATTACTTTAAGAAATACATATATTTAAATAAATACGATTTTTTCCAAATAAGTTCATTTGAGTTTAATAAAAACCGTAAAACCATCGCCGGCCACTATTTTTGCAGCCTTGTCCGTTCGATCTATGCAGAATTTACACCTTTGAAAAACTAAATACTGCAGAATAATTTTCCACAGGAAATAAATTCGAAAGGTGTAAAATTCTGACGATCCAACGTCTTTATTGTCAAAAGAAACGATCACAAATACACCACATCGTCTATGTCGATACAACAGACAGAAATATATTTCTGCGCTTGTGTTCCACCGGCATAGACGACGTCAACAAACATGAGTTGCTTTTCGAATAAAAAACTGATTTTAAAACCGAGTTAAATTGATGTATATACTAGCAACTCCAACACACTCCTACCCGTTACATTTTTCGGACTAACAGCGGTTCGACACATTGATTTTAAAACACTGAAAAGAGAAATAAATAGCATAATTAGATATATTTATTAATTAAAATTTGAATAAATAAAAAAATAATTTTGGAAATCGAGTGGACACTGTAGGTATATGTCAATTTTGAGATTTCAACAAAAATTAATTTAGAATTATCTCATGTTTTATAGGAAAAAAAAAGTTGTTTTTTTAAGTGTGCACATCTGTTTTATAATGTGTCATTTATCATTGTAATTTTATTATGATATAAAGTAGTCGAATACCCATGCGCATCCTACAAGGACATAAATGGGTTTATTCGACTCCTTAAATATCAATACAAAGAAAAAATATTCAAAATACAAAATGTAAAAAAAAAATGTAATATTTTTATTTTTAAATGAATAAATTATTATTATTATTATTTGAATTAAAAATTGAGGGTTTGTAAGATTATGTTTTCAAATTTATTCTTTTAATCCTTCAAAATTAGTTTAAATGAATCTTAAAACCAATGCTGTCAAGTGTTTTCCTTTCATCTTTAAAGGACTCCGTTAAAAAAATAATTTTTAACAGGCCTCTAAAATTTATGTATACAGATTACCATTTTTGGTTAAAAAAAGGACTCTAAATTTTAACGGATGTTTTACATAATAGACCCCAAAGTGTCCAAATAATCCACCCAGTAAACCACAAATAGTTGGCATTCGCTCGGCCTGACACAAAATTCATATTTTTTGACACACCTGGTATACGATTGAAACAATTTGATATCTGATGTTGTACAATTGTATTTAAATTTCAGAAAATGCAAAACTATTTATGGAGACTAACTTTTTTTCCAAAAAATTAATATTAAATAAATAAATAAACGTTTTTTATACAGGGTGCTTATTAATTGAGTGCAGATACTTAAGGGTGTGAATCTTTGGGTGATTTTAAGAAGAAAAGTTAATATGAACACAAGGGCGGCTTCAAAACGAATTTTCGGGGGGGAGGGGGGGGAAGAGCATTGCCTTTAGCCATTCCAATTTTAGCATATTTTTTTAAATAAAAGGCCCATAAATTGTAAAAATTTTCATCTCGGAGGGTGGGCCATGACTCCCATAGCCCCCCTGGAGCCGCCGTTGTATGAACATATGTCGTAGACTTCTTAATTTTTGAGCTACAGGATGTTATAATTTTAAGACAAAATAATTACATTTTTGATAATAATTTTTTTATCACTGCAGGTATTTTTATGAAATTTTGTACACACATTCTAATCATTAATTAGCATTTTTTGACGTAAAATATTTCTTTTAAAGTTTCATCAGTGCCGTCCCTACGGGGTTTGAACTGAATATTTTTATAGAAAAAATGGTACGCCACTGCTTTTTTTAAAATCCAAAGCTACTTTTAAAATCCTTATTTATTTTGCAACAAATTTGGTTATTACACTTATTTTTGTAAGATGTACCGTTTTGGTGTAAAAAAATAAAAATCAAAAATAATTATTTTTCTTAAATTTATTAAAACTGCTTTTGATATTTTATCGAAATTTGGTGGGGGTAGAAAATTTATTTTTGTCTGAAAAAAAATGTTTTTATGTATAGTAGGTGCTTACCAAATTGCAACAAAATATCAAAAACAGTTTCAATGATCTTACGAAAAGAAAATGTTTTTCGTTTTTATTTTTTTACGCAAAAACGGTGCGTTTTACGAAAATAAATCTCTAAATCAAATTTGCTCTAAAATAAATGAAGATTTCAAAAATAATTTTAGTTTTTAGAAAAAGCAGTGGCGTACCATTTTTTTTATTAAAAGTATTTAGTTCAAACCCCGTACGGACGTCACTGGTAGTAATTAAAAAAAAACTTTTACGTCAAAAGATGCTCCTTAATGATTAAAAGGTGTGTACAAAATTTCATAAAAATATCTGGAGTGATAAGATAATTATGATAAAAAATAAAATAGTTATGTTTTTCTTAAAACTGTATCACCCTGTAGCTCAAACATTAAGAGATTGACAACATATATTGATATAAAATTAATTTTTGCTCGAAAGAAAGTGTTTCCACGCATGGTGGGTGCTTACCAAATTTAAACAAAATATCAAAAGAAGTTCAATGAATTTAGGAGAAAAAAAAATGTTTTTTGTTTTTATTTTTTTACGCAAAAACGGTGCGTTTAACGAAAGTAAGTCTTTAGACCAAATTTGTTTCAAAATAAATAATAATTTCAAAAATAATTTTAGTTTTTAGAAAAAGCAGTGGCGTACCATTTTTTTTTAAGTATTCAATTCAAACCCCGTACGGACGTCACTGGTAGTAATTAAAAAAAAAAATTTACGTCAAAAGATGCTCCTTAATAATAAAAAGGTGTGTGGAAAATTTCATAAAAACATCTGGATATATAAGAAAATTATGACAAAAATAGTTATTTTTTTCTTAAAATTGTATCACCCTGTAGCTCAAAAATTAAAAAATTGAAGACATGTATTGAAATAAAATTAATTTTTGACCGAAAGTAAGTGTTTCCATGCATGATGGATGCCAATCAAATTGCAACAAAATATCAAAAACAGTTTCAATGATCTTAAGAAAAGAAAATGTTTTTCGTTTTTATTTTTTTACGCAAAAACGGTGCTTCATACGAAAATAAACCTTTTAACAAAATTTGCTCTAAAATAAATGAAGATTTCAAAAATAATTTTTGTTTTTAAAAAAAATAGTGGCGTACCATTTTTTTATCAAAATGATTCAATTCAAACCCCGTACGGACGTCACTGATAGAAATTTAAAAAAATCATTTACGTCAAAAGATGCTCCTTAACGATTAAAAGGTGTGTACAAAATTTCATAAAAATATCTGAATATATAAGAAAATTATGATAAAATAGTTATTTTTTACTTAAAATTGTAACACCCTGTAGCTTAAAAATTAAGAGATTGACGACATATATTGATATAAAATTAATTTTTGCCCGAAAGAAAGTGTTTCCATGAACCAAATTTTAAAAAAATATTAAAAACAGTTTATGAATTTAAAAAAAAAAATTTTTTTGGTTTTTATT